CTGCAGTTAGGAAAAGGCTTGTACCTTTACAGTTAATATTTAGAAATAGTGACTTGAGGGGATGAGTCTGTTCCCCAAGCTTTGAAACCTATGCTAGTATGAAATGACTTGTGTCCTTGAAGTGAATCTTTCTTCCATTAAAGTAGCTCGACTATAATCAGCTACAATAAAGACAATGTTGTTTGGATAGATAATTCACATCTACCAAGGTTTCTTTGACTAACATCAGGATTAATAAGTGCACTCATCTACAGCTGTTATAGGGGGCAGCCTGTTGCTACAGTTTATACCAAGACTTAAACTCAGCTATCTGAAAAGCTGAGAGAAACGTTGAATTGTTTTTACACTCATAGTATAATGTAATGTGGGAGATGGTGGATGTATTTGAGAAAATGAGAGTATAGGGGAGGCAAAAAGTATATGTTGCTCCTTGGTGCTTGTTTCTCCCTTGAGGTGTCTTTAATAACTATGAAATATCCAACTTGGAATAGTTAAGTTTCTGTGTTTGTTGGGCAAACTTTAACCATGAAATATGAGGGAAGCAATTAAGTTCTGTGTACTACCAAACCCATTCAAAGATTAGTATGTGCTAATAAGAGAAATAGGGCAAGTTGTATCATTATGTGAAATCACCCACAGTAAGTTGCCCCCCACCCTGAGGAACCTCATTTTGATGTCTAGATGGTTTTAGGTCTCTCTATGTGAACAGAAGAAAGGCATCATTAATAAGCAAAATGAGGGAGGGATGGAAATGAAGAGGTTCATCTTCTGTACCAATAGGCACATGCACATTTTGCATAGGTCTGATCACCTAGGCTCCATCAACACTTAGTGGAGAGAGGCAGGGAGTTCTCAGGCACGATTTGTCCCATTCTTGGGAAAAATAATTTTGGAAGTGCAAGGCTTCTTAGCGTAAAATGTATCGGTGGATCAAAGCCAATTTGACTAGTTGGACAGTTTACTTAATGGGATATATAACCAGTTTATAGTTTGGATCACTTAAACCTCTGGGAAAAATATCTCATTTCACAAAGGACAAAATAACTTTGCATCACTGAGGACAAAGAATCAGGTCTCCAGCTGATGTGAAACTGGTGTAGCTCCAGCAAAGACCAAGTGGCCAAGATTTACGAATAAATCATTCTTCATGTACAAAAGCTCCCTGGGCAGTCCTAGGGTAAACCCACTGTATTCCATTGACAGCTATGGTGTCAAGGACAGGCTGCTCTACAAGGGAAGGTGAGCTAGGAAGGCTGATACATCACCAACAAGGATCCAGGAAGTAAAAGCAAACTCAGGGTAAGAATCACATCTAGAGATTGTCATGAGCATCAGCCAGGAGTCCAGTGGTCACCCAGCAAATCTGAGGTAACAATTCAAATCCAAGTCAGGACAATTCAGATCCGAGTCAGGACAGGACTGGTGTCAGGAACGAGGAGGTACAGACAGAGCTGCAACTCCTGTGTAGCACAGAGGGGAGCCAAGGACAAGATTCTCAGTTAAAAGCAGTTCCCAAGTGGAGGTCAGGTTATGACCATGTTTCTTATTTGTTTCTTAATGACAGCTGTTATCAGCAAGCCATCGTTAAGCTAAATTAGAAAGGCGGAAGTGCACTGCAGTGCCTCATAAATGTAACTCTTATCCTACTATGGTGAATATGCACCAGCCCCAATAAAATCTCAGCCAGAGTCATCCAGTTCAAGCCATTGTAGCTGTACTGCAGTAAATAATTGTATTAGGCAAAATTGGCAAGGTTTGGGAGGGGAGGGGGAGGAGGAGGGCTACCAGGATGACCTCTGAGGAAGGAGATCATGAAGTGCCCTGTGCTGCTGATGGCTGGTTCCAGTCAGCTCACCTCCTTTGAACAAGAGCAGTTCATGGCATTTCTGTGACAATTTATTTAGGAAAGAGACGGAAACATCCAGAAAAAGAAACAGCAAGGTCAGAGCAGTAGGAGGTGCTCCATGAAAGAGCAGGTATACCCCAAAGGGACTGTGGCTTATGAATAAGACCATGCCAGTAAAGGCACTTCCCCAAAGGGACTGTGGACCATAGAGGATCCATTCTGAAGCAAAGGAAGCAAGCAAGAAGGAAGAAGCAGAAGAAGAAAAGTTTCAGGAATACACAGTGGCCGAAAGAAATGGCTGTGCACTGAGCGCAACCTCCCATGCCTCTACCGCAGCATCAAAGGAAATAACTGTAACCTGTGACAATAACGAGGGGAGTGGAGACTGGAAAGTGGGAGGAGAGGAGTCAGTGACCTCACATGCACCTGCACAAGCCAGAGGCCTGCTAATGGCCTACCAGCTGCTCAGCAAGAAGTGACCTTAGGGGGACCGTGAGGACAAATGGTCACCTCATAGGACTCTGTTGACAAACGTCCCCCTGCCCCTTCCCTCACTGGCCACCCCATGGCTGCGCTTTGCCATCCCACCAGCCAAACACTCTCTGCTGACCCCGGCACAGGTGGCCCTGCTGGGATATGTGTGGACATTGTGGTGGCATGGCCGGACATCCCCTGGATGATGCCGAGGTGAGCTGCTGGGGAAGTGGGACTGTTGGTGCCATTTCTGGGCCTGCCAGGCCACCGCAGCATCCCTACTTCTCCATAGGACAGTTCCACGGAAGGGAAGGGGGGTCGGTGTCCTTGTCTCCCCATGTCTGACTCAGCGTCATGGGGTGCTGGAGCTCAGCCCACAGCAGCCCCATATGGCCTTCCCCATGTCCCCACCACAGCTGGGGACACCCAAGATGAAGACATGGAGCAGAGACACCTGGTCCCAGTTGTGCTTGGAGGGGTCACATGGTGCCCTGCCACATTGCAGAGGGGACGCCTTGGCCCTGGTTGTGTTTGGAGGTTACCGGGGCACGCCCCCTCAAACTTCTCCTTGGCTGTAGTTTCGGTTCTGCCTTCTCCCCAATGCAGGCACCTCCAGGAAAGGGGAAGAGAAACTGCGGGGTGAGGGGAGGTGCCAGGGGACAGCCGGGGAGGAGCAGTGGGTAGGGAACATTGTGGGGGTGAGGCTGGCTCCGGTCACCCCTGTGTCCCTCCAGAGCTGGGACACTGGTGACAATGGGGACAGAGCAGGGAGATGGCCCCCACAGTTCCTGTTCCCATGCCCAGGGGGCACTTGAGGAGGGGGACAGGGTTCCCCACCAAAGATGGTGGGAAGGAAAGGGGAGTGCCAGGCTGCAGCCCATCTCCAGGCCCCCTCCTGGGGGCATTTACAGGAGAGTTTGAGCTCCCCAGCACTGTGGGGTGCAGGGAAGCAGAGAGGCAACTCCCAGACCCCATGGCGTGGATGGAGCTCCAGGGAAATCAAGAGGTTGTTCATCTACCACAGCTCCCTGGAATGGGCCTGGGGGTGGGGGGAATATGGTCCCATCCCAGCTTGGGGATCCTGCCCAGCCAAGTGCCGCCGCTCTGAGGGTCCGATGACTGTCAGTGGGAAACAGCCCCTTCTAGGCCCTGCAGCCCATCTCTCCCCTTGGGGACTGTCACACTCCAGCCACTCCAGCCCATCCATTTCCCATGCCCTAAGAGGAGCTCCTGGAGGACCCGATTCCTCCAGCCCTGCCTGCACCCATCCCCAACCCTGCCACTGGGGGTTGTGTGGGAACTGCTCGTCACCTCCTCCATGCGGAGCCCCTTCCCCAGGATCAGGCCAGCCGTGCAGAGGGTGTCAGGGGATATCACCAGCTCTCCTCACTCTCGCCCCCTCCCCCAAGAGCCGTCCGTTGCCACGATCATCGCCTGCATGCCTGGCCCAGCTCTGCTCCTGCTGGTTTGCCACATCACCAGCTTCTACCCATGGCCCATCAGCATGGCCTGGCTGCAGGACAGCCAGGAGATGACAAAGAGGCATGGGGCCAGCGCACATCCTGGGGCATGGGGAGCCCAGGCATGTGGCCAGGCTGTGGGAACAGGGTTCACCTCCCCTGTGGGAAAGACAGCCACTTTAGGGCAAATCCGCGTGGTTAGGTAGGCAGCACAGTGAGGATGGGGATGGCTGTGTTCTGTGGGGGGCGACATGCTGGGGGCAAGAGTGGCAGCAAGGGACATTCCCATCAGGGACAGTGGGTGGCGCCTATCGCGGGGCGGCACCTCCACCAGGAGGACCCGATTCCTCCAGCCCTGCCTGCACCCATCCCCAACCCTGCCACTGGGGGTTGTGTGGGAACTGCTCGTCACCTCCTCCATGCGGAGCCCCTTCCCCAGGATCAGGCCAGCCGTGCAGAGGGTGTCAGGGGATATCACCAGCTCTCCTCACTCTCGCCCCCTCCCCCAAGAGCCGTCCGTTGCCACGATCATCGCCTGCATGCCTGGCCCAGCTCTGCTCCTGCTGGTTTGCCACATCACCAGCTTCTACCCATGGCCCATCAGCATGGCCTGGCTGCAGGACAGCCAGGAGATGACAAAGAGGCATGGGGCCAGCGCACATCCTGGGGCATGGGGAGCCCAGGCATGTGGCCAGGCTGTGGGAACAGGGTTCACCTCCCCTGTGGGAAAGACAGCCACTTTAGGGCAAATCCGCGTGGTTAGGTAGGCAGCACAGTGAGGAGCAGCACAGCCCTGTGCTATGCAGGGCCAGACATGCTGGGCATGAGTGGCAGCAAGGGACATTCCCATCAGGGACAGTGGATGCAGCCCATAGCCAGGCGGCACCTCCACCATACTGTCCTGATTGTCAAGGTGCTGCCACAGCCATGAGGGACACCCCTCCTACAGCCAGTGGGACAGCCTTGCTCCCAACCAAATTCCCCCAGCACTGACAGCCATACTCAGTGTGCCCCAAACCAGCCCACCCCAAGCGGGAACATCAGGCCCCTCCTCAAAACCTCAGTGACAGACCCATTGGCTGCCAGGGCCACTAGCACCAGCAGAACTGCCTGGGCATAGCCACCCTGAGGAGAAGTGTGTGGCCACGTCTCTCACAGTCCTTTCCTCCTGCCGCTGCACCCACTACTGCACGCTCACTCAGACCCTCGCTGCTGGCACCATGCAACCCCCTCACCACTGCCTCCTCCTCCTCTACTTTCTCCTCCTATCTGGGACATGGGCAGACCTGGAGGGTAAGTGGGAGCCTTGGCGCATCCACATCTGCTCCCATGCCCCCGTGGGACCCCACAGGCAAGGGGCTTCCTGCTCCCCACCTGCCTTGGGCACTTGACTCCTCACCCTTTCTTGTCCCCTGGCTCCACACCTCCTCCCTGGCAGGGGTACTCACCCAGGTGGGTGCAGGGGGTGTGACCTCGGGCTGCCAAGGATGCAGGGGTTTATGGGGGTCCCACAGGTCTCTGCAACCCCGAGGACCCATCCCTCAGCCCCTCCACTTTTCCCAGCCCTCTCCTCCCACTCCCATCTCCCCCTGTTGACCTGTCTTGTGTAGGGACTTTCACTATCCGGCTGCTCCAGACCTCCACCTTCCAAAACACCTCTTTCGTGGACACGGAGGGGCTGGCCCTGCTGGAAGACATCGAGCTTGGTTCTTTTGATATGCACACCTGGACCATCCGCTTCTACCAGCCCTGGGTGCGCCCAGCCCTACCCCGCAGTGACTGGGACACCATTGAGAACATGATCAAGATCTATTTCCAGCAGTTCAACCACCTGATCAATGAAGGTGCCATGCAGAAGGATGTGCCCTGTGAGTACTCAGTCTTCTCTGCATCCCCTCTCTGAACAGCATCTGAGAAGTGGGGAAGTACCCAACAATGCTGGCACTGCACAGGAGATGCTGACCATGTCCATAGGAAGGCAGTCCCAGCCCCTCATGCAACCTCTCTCTCCTCTTTGCCCCCCCCCAGACCCCTTCGTGGCCCAATGCATGGCGGGCTGCCAGCTCTACCCCAACAGGACCTCCCGGGCCTTCATCTATGTGGGCTACAATAGCCAGGACTTCCTCAGCTTCAACATGGACAATGCCACCTGGCTCTTATCCCAAGACACCATCCTGTCACGGTACGTCCAGGCTGTTCTACAGAACTATACTGCCTTCAGCGAGCTGGTGGAAGTCCTCTTCAATGATACCTGTGCTGACGACCTGGAGATGTTTCTGCACTATGGGAAGGCAGCTCTGGAGAGACAAGGTGAGACCATCGTGACCCGGGCATGGCCACCCCAAAGTCCCACACACACTGGGGCCAAGTGGTGCCCATCAGTGTGGCCTGGCTGCAGGATGGCCAGGAGGTGCCGCCGGGCCCAGCGCTCAACACCAGCACCATCCTGCCCAACGCTGACCTCACCTACCAGCTCCGCAGCGTCCTGGCCGTGGCCCCCCATGATGGTCACAGCTATGCCTGCCGCGTGCGCCACAGCAGCCTGGGCACCCGCAGCCTCCTCATCCCATGGGGTAGGTGCCACCCGGGGGACAGGGATGGGGCTTCTGAGCTGCCCTGCGCTGCGGGATGGAGCAAAGCTGCGAAAGCTCATGGGAGTCTCTGCTTGTGTTTCTCAGGGAACTCAGAGGTGGTGCTGATCGCAGGGCTCGGGGCTGGGCTGCTGGCAGCCGTGGCCACGGCTGCCATCACAGTGCTTTGGGTGTGGAGATGCAGGTGAGGTCCTTTCTGCCCCACAGAGCAGCAGTGGGAGAGGAGGGGAGGAAATGCCCCAGGGGACTGCTGCACTTAGCAGCGAAGCTCCTGCTCCAGCCCTGCCAGCTGCTGTCTGCATCCCCATGAAGTCTCTTCCATGGAGTATCCGTGAGTTGTTCCCCTCTCATTTCAGAAAGCACCAGCAGATGGAGGAATCAGAGTCCAGGAACTCCATCCTGAGCAAAGAAGCTTAGCCCAGAAGGGAGCCCACCGCCCCTGTTTCCTTCCACCACCCTCACAGGGACAAAAACTCTACTTTTTTTTGCTTTGACAAAATTCTGGGCATTGCCGAGTGCGAGATCAACTCAGCTCGGAGACACAGGGGGGAAACCTGGGGGGCTCCTGACTCACTTCAGTTTGTTAGGCAGACAAGGATGCAAGTGTGAGACCTCCTCACTCGTTACACATGGTCACCTCTCATGTTGTGGCCCTGCCCCATGCACCCACTGAGGCTCTTCAGGGCACCCCAATGCCCAGCAGCAATTTCTCCGAGTTCTGGTACAATAACACATTTATCAGTAGGTGGTAAGCTGTGCCCTTCTACTGTACCTTTCTAGTATTTTTTCCTAAAAGCTGCCTTTATTAACCATATTCCAGAAAAAGTTGTGCTGAGACTGAACTATTCCACATAGACTAATTGCACCTGGCCACAAACCATTTTACAAAGTGCTGAGTAACACTGAAACTCTGATGTAATCTGTGGGAGCTGCAGATGTGTATAAAATGAAATTAAAACATTCATGTTTTCACTAAGAACATGTGCCTTTCCTCAGGATTTGGATGGGCTCAGGGAGGTTTTGACCAGCTGCAAATGGAAGCTGGAGCACCACTGAATTATTGGTGCTAATTGCAGGAAACACCAAAGCAAAAAAAAAAAAAAAAAGTAAAAGTGTGTTTGTGCATATACAAACACGTTCTTACACATTTCATGGAAATAAGCAGCTGTGCACATGGGGGTAAAGTGCCCCCAAGCCTCCCAACTAAAGAGAAAAAGGAAGCCAATCTCCCATCGGAGACAGCGGAGTTCAGACAGGCATAGGAAGGAATTTATTTCGTGCTCTCAATCAACCACACGCTTCAATGTGCAGCTTCAAAAGGTTTGATTTCACAGGCCAACTTCCTGGCAAAGTTTCACAGGAAATGTCTCTGGCAGTGTGTGTGAGCCAGCTATCAGGTGAGTCAGAAGAAAACCCGACTGGCCTGTGGGTCATCCACCACATCTTCACTGCAGCTAGTTGTCCACTGGCCAAATGCTGTGAACCACAGTGCTGCAGGCAGGACTGAATTTCCCTGACAGCCAGAGTCACCTGCTGGCACTGCGGGGCTCAAGGATCTTGCTGCAGGAGGAGTGACGCTGAGTCTCTCCCAGCCCTTGCTGAGCTAGGACAGACAGATGAAACTTTCAGCTCCAGGCAGGGCTCACCTTCGGGCTGGGAGCCCACAGCCTCAGCACCAACAGGGCACACAGGGCAAGTCATCTCCCAAACAGAGTGAAACACCCTGCAGCACTCACGGGACATGGCAGGATGAAACTCACCCACCAAACCTGGAGAGCAGATGCAGACAGTGAGCAAGCCTGGTAAGAAAAGGTGGTCGTGTGCATGACCTCCCAAGAGACTCTACAATAACACACACACAACCAACCAGGCGTTTCAAGAGGTCTCTTCAGGTGTTTCGGCCCGGCCCAGTGGGTGCTGGTGCCCACACACCCAGTGTAACACCCAGAGGCACTGCAGCCCTGCACACCCCACCCCTAACTCACCCAGGCATGGCTCTGGGCTCGGGGGGGGGCAGTTACAGCCCTCACCTGAGGGAGGACTGCAAGGACCAATGGTCACCTGAAGTGGAACTGCAAAGTCTTACAGTCACTGCGGGGCGGGACAGTGAGGACCAGTAGTCACCTGGGAGGACTGTAAGAACAGTGTCACCTGAGGGGACTGTGGGGACCAATGGTAACCTGCGGGGTGACTCTGAGGACCAACAGTCACTTAGGGGACTGTGAGGACCAATTATCTGTGTGAACAAAAAGCCCCCTGCCCCCTTTGGTCATTTGCTGACCAAAGGAAGTGACAATATCAAGGAGGAAGAAGTTGAGACCTCTTCTGCAGCAAGTGAAAAAGTGCAAAAAAACCCCCCAAAAAACCATGAGGACAAGTACATTCAATAGAGAAGAGGAAGAGCTAAAGCAGAACTGTTCCACTGCAACAATGGGAGACATCTGGAGAAAATTCAGGAGGGGCTGAAGAGATCATGAGCACTCAGAGACTGGAAAGTGGGAGGAGAGGAGTCAGTGACATCACATGCACCTGCACAAGCCAGGTGCCTGCAACTGCCCTATCAGCTACTCAGCCACCAGTGACCTCACATGCACCTGCACAAGCCAGAGGCCTGCTAATGGCCTACCAGCTGCTCAGCAAGAAGTGACCTTAGGGGGACCGTGAGGACAAATGGTCACCTCATAGGACTCTGTTGACAAACGTCCCCCTGCCCCTTCCCTCACTGGCCACCCCATGGCTGCGCTTTGCCATCCCACCAGCCAAACACTCTCTGCTGACCCCGGCACAGGTGGCCCTGCTGGGATATGTGTGGACATTGTGGTGGCATGGCCGGACATCCCCTGGATGATGCCGAGGTGAGCTGCTGGGGAAGTGGGACTGTTGGTGCCATTTCTGGGCCTGCCAGGCCACCGCAGCATCCCTACTTCTCCATAGGACAGTTCCACGGAAGGGAAGGGGGGTCGGTGTCCTTGTCTCCCCATGTCTGACTCAGCGTCATGGGGTGCTGGAGCTCAGCCCACAGCAGCCCCATATGGCCTTCCCCATGTCCCCACCACAGCTGGGGACACCCAAGATGAAGACATGGAGCAGAGACACCTGGTCCCAGTTGTGCTTGGAGGGGTCACATGGTGCCCTGCCACATTGCAGAGGGGACGCCTTGGCCCTGGTTGTGTTTGGAGGTTACCGGGGCACGCCCCCTCAAACTTCTCCTTGGCTGTAGTTTCGGTTCTGCCTTCTCCCCAATGCAGGCACCTCCAGGAAAGGGGAAGAGAAACTGCGGGGTGAGGGGAGGTGCCAGGGGACAGCCGGGGAGGAGCAGTGGGTAGGGAACATTGTGGGGGTGAGGCTGGCTCCGGTCACCCCTGTGTCCCTCCAGAGCTGGGACACTGGTGACAATGGGGACAGAGCAGGGAGATGGCCCCCACAGTTCCTGTTCCCATGCCCAGGGGGCACTTGAGGAGGGGGACAGGGTTCCCCACCAAAGATGGTGGGAAGGAAAGGGGAGTGCCAGGCTGCAGCCCATCTCCAGGCCCCCTCCTGGGGGCATTTACAGGAGAGTTTGAGCTCCCCAGCACTGTTCCTGCAGCCATGGGCAGGGCAGGAACTGCTCATCGCCTCCTCCCTGGGGAGCCCCATCCTCAGGTTTTGGCAGGCAGTGCAGGAGGAGCCTGAGCTGGAGGTGCCGGGGGGGCCCAAAAGAGCCCTTCTCCCCATGCGGGGCTGAGAGGGCAGCAGCCGTCTTTCTCCAGTCAGGGCTGAAACCCAAAGCCATCGTCACCTCCATCGAAGCTGATGCATCTCACAAAACGAGGGTGGGGGCGAGGTACCATCAGCAGGGAGGGGGATTCTGGGGGACTCAGCTCGGGTCCCCAAGCACCCATTTTCCCCTAGTGCCATTTCCTGGGCCTCCCTTTCCCTGCCCTCTCCTAGTGGCTGGGCTCTCCCCAGCCTGTCGTGTCACTTCATGCTCAAGACCTTATTTCAGCTTTCCTCTCTCCCACATGTCCCCAGCTCAGGACCTCTGGGGCCCTCCCCGACATGTCTGCACCAGTCCCATTGGCGGAGAGCCACTGCCGTGACTGCTGGGCTGGGCTGAAACGTGGGACCCCATGAGTGCTTCCTCCTCCTGCAGTCACTGCTGCTGCTGCTTCAGCCTTGCCGCGTGCACCATGCAGCCCCCTCTCCTCCTCCTCTTCCTCTTTCTCCCCATCCTCCTCCCTGGGATGTGGGCAAACCCAGAGGGTAAGTGGGAGCCCTGGCTCACCCCAACCACTCTCACCCCCCTGTCAGAGTACCCCACAGGTTCCTCAGGGGAGGCACGGCCAGGCCACACTCTCCTTCATGGGAGGGATGATCCCCAGCATCAAAGGGCCACCCCCTACCACACAGCACCAAAAGGTGCTCTGTTCCTGCCCACCCTCTCTGTTCCTGCCTCCAGCTCAGGGCTTTATGCCCCACCGGCTCCAGAACAGGGGCTCAGACACCGAAGCAGAAGTGGGGCCAGGGGTTCCCAGCCAGGCCTGGGGTGTTTGGGTTCCCCCAAAGGTGCTTTCCTCCTGCAGAGAGCCCATGGGTGCCATCTCAGCTCCACATGGTGCTGTGGGCCCCTTCCATCAGCCCTTTGTTTGTTGGGAAGCTGCACCTGTGAGACGGTGTTTTGGGTGCTGCTGTCGCACAGAGCGTTTCACCACAACCCTGTGAGGCCTCATGTTTCCGGGGGGCGGGGGGGCAGGCAGAAGCAGACATTGGAACATGGGACTGATCTCTGGGCTGGGCTACTCTTCTGCCCCTGTCAGGGTTCGGTCTTCTTGAGCTCCCGATGCCCGGGAGCCCCCAAACCTGGACAAAATGCCCTTTTCCCTCTTCCATCCTCCACATCCTCTGTGCCATGTGCGGGTCTCTGGCAGATCCAGGTCATGGCATGGGTGCTTCTTCTGGAGGAAGCATCACCCCAAAACAAGCACTGAGGTGCCCCCCCCCCATCTGCTCCACACGGCCAGACAGTAACTGCTGGGCAGGAGGGAGGCGGGAGAGGAGGGGCCGAGGTGCCTGAAACCCTGTATGGGAGAGAAATACCTCGTTGAAAGCAAAATAGAGAAGGAAAAAGAGCAGCAGGGGCAGAGGAAGTTGAGATAGGAAAGCAGCTCTGAGTGGGTGAGGAGGTGGGAGTCCAGCAAAAGACATGGCTGGGGGGTTGCCCAGGCAGGGTCAAGTGCAGGCTGCTGGGGGTCCCCGTGGTGTGGGGTGAAAAGCATAAAATCATAGAATACTTTGGGTTGGAAGGGACCTTTAAAGGTCATCTAGTCCACCCCACCCTGCAATGAGCAGGAACATCTGCAACTAGATCAGGAACATCTGCAACTAGATCACGTTGCTCAGAGCCCCATCCAGACTGTTCTTGAATGTTTCCATGGACGGGGCATCTACCACCTCTCTGGGCAACCTGTTCCCGTGTTTCACCACCCTCATCATAAAAAAATTCTTATATCTAGTCTGAATCCCCTTGTTTCCCCTTCAGCCCCCCCTCCCCCATCTTCTCTTTTCTGCAGCCCTTTCCATCCCCATCCTCTTTCCCAGCAGAGCCGCAGGTTTTGCAGCTGCTCCAGACCAGCCTCTTTGCCAACATCAGCTCTGCCGAGGTGTCCGCGGTGGCTCTCCTGGGGGACATGCCGATCTTTGTGCTGGATCCTGCCAACTGGAGCATCCATTTCCACTGGCCCTGGGTCCACCAGGCCACAGCCGAGGGTGATGCAGAGAATATCAAGTCCCACTCCAAAGTCTTTCTGCGCAATATGGTCCGATACGTGCACGAAGTGGCCCAGCAGGCGCAACAGGACTGTGAGTATGGGGACAACCCCAGCCAGAGCTCTAGCCCCTTTCCCCAGGTTCTGGCTGTGCCCTCCTCCCCACCAGGGTGGCATTTGTGGGGTCTCATAGGGTGCAACAGCTCCTGAAAGGGTTATGGGAAATGGGAAATGCCCTCCTGCCAGGACACATGGCTAGCAGGGGCAGGGAGGGCACAGCACCAAAAAGACTCCTCAGGGCTCCTGCCTTCTGGCACGGGGGAACCCCTCTGCACATTGGGGAGCTGCCACCAAATTTACCAGGGCTGCAGGACCCTCACAGCACAGATCGGGGAAAGAGAAAGTTGGGGACAAATATTTTGGGGGACAACGCTCTGTTTGAGCAAGCACCCTGCGCTAACTGGCCTTCAAAGGCGACTGAGGGCTTAGAGGGTGTCCCAGGGTTTCCTGAAGCATGGTCCCATGCCCTGCTGCCCATTGCACCCCACTGGCCATTGCATCCCTGCGCATGACTCCAGTCACATCCTGCCTTGTGCCACCCATGTTCCACACACTCATGGGTCCTCTCCACTGGCTCTGCCATTGGCAGACCCATTTGTGATCCAGATCCGGTCAGGCTGTGTGCTGCACCCCAACAGGACAAGCTGGGGCTTCATGGATGTCGGGGCGGATGGCACAGACCTCACAGCTTTCGAGGTGGAGAGGCAGCGCTGGGAGCCCCGGCAGCCATCCCTGCTAGCAAAGCTGGTCAGCAAGTCCCTCACCAGCCAGAAGGCCATCACAGGGCTCCTGGAGCACCTCCTCTCCATCTCCTGCCAGAGCTACATCCTCACCCTGTGCAGATATGGGAGGGCAGCTCTGGAGAGACAAGGTGAGACCATCGTGACCCGGGCATGGCCACCCCAAAGTCCCACACACACTGGGGCCAAGTGGTGCCCCACCAGGGCTCCCCCCATCCCTCTGCTCTCCCCCCCCAGAGCTGCCTGTGGCCAGAGTCTTCACCCGCACACCCACACCACACCAGCTCCTGCTGGTTTGCCGTGTCACCGGCTTCTACCCACGGTCCATCAGTGTGGCCTGGCTGCGGGATGGCCAGGAGGTGCCGCCGGGCCCAGCGCTCAACACCAGCACCATCCTGCCCAACGCTGACCTCACCTACCAGCTCCGCAGCGTCCTGGCCGTGGCCCCCCATGATGGTCACAGCTATGCCTGCCGCGTGCGCCACAGCAGCCTGGGCACCCGCAGCCTCCTCATCCCATGGAGTAGGTGCCACCCGGGGGGATGGGATGCAGGGTGCAGATAGCAGCCACTGGCTCTGCGAGGGGCAGCTCCTGCCTGGCGCTGCCACACTCACATTGCCACCCTCTTTTGTCCCTGTCCCAGAAAACCACAACGCTGCTCCAACCATCGGCATTGCCATCACAGTGCTGCTCCTTGCGGCCACAGCCTCTGCCGGGGGTGTTTGGTGGTGGAAGCACAGGCAAGGTCTCCCTCCTGCCGTCTGCTCTCAGGCTTATGGGCAGATGGGTCAGGCCAGGGCTTGCAGCAGCAACAGCAGCAGCAGCAGCAGCAGCTCTGCAGGGATGAATTCCCCACGCCCGAGAGTGGCTCACAGTGCCCCCCCTTTGCAGGATAGTTGATGAGGCCACATGGGAGACCCGGGAATTCATCATTTGAGACCTGTCTGCCCGCCCAGCAATGAGCTCCCTCACCACCAGCTCTCCCTGCTCATCTCCTCTCCCACCCCTGATCCATCAGCACTGACAGGGGTTTGCTATGGAAAACCACCACATTAAACAGCTACAAACTTCCTTAGCTGCACGTGGCTCCTGTGGCTCTCTCCCTCCTTGCCCCTCATGAGGTCCCCCCCAGGAAACACCCCCAGCATGCTGCAGAGACCCCACATTGCAGCCAGGAAGGCTCTCCCTTTTCCTGGACACTGGCTGATCTCCCCTGGCATGTCAGGAGAAGCAATTCCTCCACCAGCCTCTCCTGCATCTCAGCACCTCCATGGCCAGTGTCTGTCCCTGGCAGAAGGGCATTGACAACCTGGAGCCAGACTAGCATGAGGCTGCTGAGTGGGATGGGGGATGGATCAGGCCACCAATCAGGGAGAGATGGAGGAATCTGAGCTGTTTTGCTGGGGAGACAAGGGGAAGGGAGGACCCAAGTGACATCTCCAACCAATCCCCTGATGTGGGGAAGCATTTCGAGCAGGTGCGAAGCTGCTCTGGCTCCAGTGCTGATCTCACCCTTTATCCAGGATGGTTTTGGGTTGGGATCTCCTACACTCCTGGCTCCTACCCCCATGCCTGACTCCTGCTCCTGCAAAAGCTGGAGAGATGGGGGACAGTCACCCTCCCAATATGCCTGACAGCCATGAAGGAGCCACACTGAGGCTCTGGGGGTCTGTGTCTTTGAGCAACATGCCCCCAAGAAGATTGGTATGGTGGTTTGACCTTGGCTGGCAGCCAGGTGCCCATCAAGCTGCTCTATCACTCCCCCTCCTCAATGGATAAGGGGGAGAAAATATGACAAAAGGCTCGTGGGTTGAGATAAGGACAGGGAGATTGCTCAGCAATTACTATCACAGGCAAAACAGACTCAGGTTGGGGAAATTAATTTAATTTATTGCCAATCAAAATCAGAGCAGGATGAGAAATAAGAACAAATCTAAAAACCCCTTCCCCCTACCCCTCCCTTCTTCCCAGGCTCAACTTCACTCTTGACTTCTCTCCCTCCTCCTCCCAAGCAGCCCAGCAGGACGGAGAATGGGGACTGCCATCAGTTTATTATGTGTTGTCTCTGTCACCCTGCTCCAGCACGGGTCCTTCCCACAGGGTGCAGTTCTTCACGAACTGCTCCAGTGTGCGTACTTTCCATGGGGTGCAGTTCTGCAGGAATGCACTGCTCCAGCACGGGTCCCCTGCAGGGTCACAAGTCCTGCCAGAAGACCTGCTCCAGCATGGGCTCCTCTCCATGGGGTCACAGGTCCTGCAGGAGCCTGCTCCAGCATGGGCTCTCCACAGGGTCACAGCCTCCTTCAGGCACATCCACCTGCTCTTATGTGGATCCTCCATGGGCTGCAGGTGGATATCTGCTCCACCATGGTCCTTCACCACAGGCTGCACAGGCACCATCTCTGCTGTAGTGCCTGGAGCATCTCCTCCTCCTCTTTCACTGAATTTGGCATCTCCATAGTTGTTTCTCTCACATATTCTCACTTCTCTCTCCCTGCTGCTGTTGCAGAGCAGTTTTTACCCCTTCTTAAATATGTTATCACAGAGGTACTACCAACATCACTAACAGGCTGAGCCTTGGCCAGCGGTGAGTCTGTCTTGGAGTTGGCTGGAACTGGCTCTGTTGGACATCGGGGCAGCTTCTGGCATCTTCTCACGGAAGCCACTCCTGCAGCCCTCTGGCTACCAAAACCTTGTCATGTAAACCCAATACTCTGCCAAGGGCCTACAGAGTAAACCCCTGGGGGTTACCACGGGAGGAGGCAAAGGCCACAACGGGCTGGGCTCAGCCTACATCTCCTTGGGTGTCAGGGTGCTGCTGCAGCCAGGTGGGATGACTTTGCACCCACCCAAATTCCCCTGGTGCTCACAGCCACCAGCCAGAGCACCCCAGCCCAGCCCTCTACCAGCTGCACCACCTCCCACTGGGGAATACGCCCAGCCAGGCCCTCCTCAAAACCTCAGCACCAGCCTCATTGGCTACTGGGGCCACCCCATGACACTGGCATCACCAGAGCTGCCCAAGCAGAGCAGCCCTGGGGGGAAGTGTGCAGTCACAGCTCCCGTGGCGCCTTCCTCCTCCTGCTACACTTGCTCCTGTACACTTGCTGCTGGTACCATGCAGCCCCCTCGCCTCCTCCTCTTCCTCTTCCTTCTCTTCCTCCTCCCTGGAATGTGGGCAGATCCAGAGGGTAAGTGGGAGCCCTGGCTCACCCCCACCTGCTTCCACCTCTGCACTGCAGGACCCCACAGAGAAGGCAGGGGATGGGCACCGACAGGCCATTGTCCCCAACACCAAGGGGCCACGCCCCCACCCCACAGCACCAAAAGGTGCCCCATCCCTGCCCACCTGCTCAGGGTTCCCTGCCCCACACCATCCTGCCCAGTTCAGCACCACTGGCACTGGGGTTCAGGTGCCTGAGCAGCCAAGGGGCAAGGGGTCCCTCAGCCAGGCCTGGAGTGCTGGGGTGTCCCCAAAGACACCTTCCTCCTGCAGGGAGCCTGTTGGGCAGCAGGGGTTCTCAGTCCCTCATGGCATAACAGCCCTGCACTGGTCTCCAATGCCTTGAGCAGGTCCGGGGTTTCTCTTGTAATCGAAGGGTCCCTGGATCCTCTGCATTCTTCCCCATGAAACAACGCTTGAAGGTTCCTCCTGCAGCTACAACAAGCCTTCACCTGCACCCCCAGCCTGTGTTTCCCATTCCGGGGGCAGGCCCTCACCATGCCCTGGCCAGGGGGACACCTACTGCTCCAAAACAGGCTTCACTCTGCCCTGCTTACTACCAAAGCCTCATTCAGCACTGCAGCATTGAACTCAGTCTCCTGCCTCCTGTTAGGGTTTGGTCTCGAGCACTGCCCGGGAGCCCCTAAACTGGGATGAAATGCCTCACCCTCCCAGCCCCACCAGCCCCTGCACTGTGTGCCAGTCTCCAGTGGATCTGGGTCTGGCACGGGTTCTCCTTGCTGGGGGAAGCATCGCCCCAAACCAACACTGAGGTCCCCCTGCCATCCCTTCCACATGGCTAAGTCAGAAGGTCACATGGGGGGGGGGGGGGGGGGGATGGTGTAGGGGTAGGGGAAAGGGGGGGGGGGGGGGGGTGGATGGCTAAAAAAAGGAAATTAGAGGCAAATTGAGGCTCAGAGGAAGGAAATTGAAAACTGAGTGAAACCAGGGGATTTCCCCTGCCCTGCCTGTCTGCCCCATCTCACCCTGCCTGTCCACAGGGACACTGCAAACCACCCTTCCTCCTGAGGTCGCCCACGAGCACTGGAGCTGGCAGACCCCTGATCTCCTGCTGCATCCTCATGCACCCCAATGCCCCTTCCTCTCCCCCCTCTCCCCACAGGCTCTTGTAAACTCCACATTTTCCAAACCTTTGTCTTCCACGACACCAACTTTGTGGACATTTCATCCTGGGCCACCCTGGAGGACATCGTCTTTGCTACCCTGCAGAAATACACCTGGAACATCCTGCACCCATGGGTCTACCAGGCCCTGCCTGCAGCAGAGTGGGAGAACTTGCAAAACCTGTTCAGCATCTACATGCACAACTTTATCCTGTCCATGTCGAGTGATGCCAGGCTGTACCACACACCATGTGAGTACCAGGTGCTCAGCACCTCCTTGCCCAAGGCAGGGAACTGTGAGAAGGAGCTCAGCACCGCTACCACGAACAGCTTTCCCAAACCGGGTCTGGCAGGAGGGCAGGTAATGGGCTTCATCCTGCACCAGCAAGACTCCCAAACCACTCTGTCCTGTGTGAAGGTCACATGGGGCCATCCTGGTCCCCAGCACAAACCTTGGCCACGTTTAGCTCCACTTACACCCCCACACCAGCCCCCCCTATTGCTCTCCGGGCACCTCAAATCCCACTAGAGAAGTCATCTGAGAAAGTGGAGTAGCAGGTCAAAGGGGCATCTCCGCCCATGTCTGTGGGACAGGACACACAGAGCAAGTGCCTGGCCCCACATGCTGCTGCAGCGCTGGTTAACCAAGGGCAGGGCGCTGGGCAGAGTGCCATCATCCTCCTACTCACCTGCACCCCGTGTCCCGTCACTCCCCCAAAGCAGTGCTTCCCGCTTTGCCATGGCTCCCGACCCTGCTGTGGGCAGGGGCAGCTTGAGGTCAACAAGCTACAGGGCTCAGGACAGGTTTCTGACCCACAGAGTTTCCATCAGGCATAAAGCAGAGCAGTGACATGGAGGCATAGTACAGAACAGAGTATAGAGTATAGAGTACAGAGTACAGAGTATAGAATAGTTCCGTTGGAAGGAACCTACAACGATCATCTAGTCCAACTGCCTGAGCACTTCAGAGCTGACAAAAAGATAAAGCAAAATATTAAGGCCGTTGTCCAAATACCTCTTAAACATTGGCAGGCTTGGGGCATCAGCCACCTAAAAAGTTTCCTAATGTCAAGTCTGAACCTGCCCTGAAACAGCTTTGAACCATTACCACGGATCCTGTCACTGGATCCCAAGGAGAAGAGATCAGCACCTCCCTCTCCATGTCCCCTCCTCAGGAAACTGTAGAGAGCAATGAGGTCGCCCCTCAGCCTCCTTTTCTCCAGTCTAAACAAGCCCAGAGTCCTCAGCCACTCCTCAGAGGACATGCCTTCCACCCCCGTCACCAGCTTTGTTGCCCTCCTCTGGACATATTCTAGTACCTTTACATCCTTCTTAAATGGTGGAGCCCAGAACTGCACACAGTACTAAAGATGAGGCCTCACCAATGCTGAATACAGTGGGATATTCCCCTCTCTTGACCAGCTGCTTACGGCATGTTTGATGTACCCCAGGATGCAGTCTGCCCTCTTGGCTGCCAGGGCACACTGCTGGCTCCTATTGAGCCTGCTGCCGACCAGCACCCCACATCCTTTTCTCCTGGACTGCTCTCCAGCCACTCCCCTCCCAGTTTATATTTGTGTCCAGTGTTACTCCATCTCAGCTGCAGAATGTGGCATTTGTTCTTGTTAAATTTCATGCCATTGATGATTGCTCAATGCTCCAATCTATCTAGATCCCTCTGCAAGGCCTCTTGTCCTTCAGGAGAGTCAACAGCACCTCCCAGTTTTGTATCATCAGCAAACTTGCAAATGGTGCGTTCAACTCCTGCATCCAGATCATTGGTCAAAATATGGAACAGCACTGGCCCTAGGATTGAGCCCTGAGGAACACCGCTGATGACTGGTCACCAGCCAGATGTAGCCCCACTCACTACAACCCTTTAAGCCCTGCCGTTCAGCCAGTGCTTCTCCCGGTGCACTGTGAACTTGCTCACCCCACAGCTGGACAACTTGTCCAGAAAGATGCTGTGAGGGACAATATCAAAAGCCTTACTAAAATCCAGAAAAACTACATCCACTGCCTTCCCTTCACCCACTAGGTGGGTGACCTTATTGTAGAAGGATATCAAATTAGTTACAGGACTTTTCCTGTAGATGGTAGTGTAGATGATAGTAGATGGTAGTGTCCTGCCATAACATCCGCTAGCTCCTTCAGCATTCTACGATGAATCCCATCAGGCCCCATGAACTTGTGAACATTCAGTAGATAGAGCTGGTCCCTTAAAATTTCAGTGTCCACAAGTGGAAAGTCACTGCTCCCGCAGTCGTCGTCCTCTGACTCAGAGGACCAGGCAGCCCAATATATTACTAAAGACTGAAGCAAAAAAGCATTGAATGCCTCCACTTTTTCTTCATCCCTATTAGTCAGGTGACCATCTTCAACAAGTATTGGTTCAATGTTTTCTTCAGACCTCCTTTTGCTATTAACGTACTTAAAAAAGCCTTTCTTGTTGTCTGACACAACACTGGCCAGTTTCAACTCTAATTGAGCTTTGGCCTTTCGTGTCTTCTCCCTGGGGAGAATGACTTGGCATGCAGAGGGAAGGGGGAAAGGGCTGTGCCCAAAGAAGCAGGTGCCAGGCTCCAATTTCGGGCTCCAGTTTGAGCTACACTCATGATGCGCATTGTCATTCCCAGACCCCTTTGTGTTCCAGTGTGCAACCGGCTGCGACTTGTATCCCAATGGCTCTTATACCAAATTCTACCATCTCGCCTACAACACCCATGACTTCCTCAGCTTCGACGTGGACAACAGCCGCTGGGAGAGGTGGCAGGAGAGTGAGCTGGCGGCACAAGTTGAGAGGCAGTTCAACGCCTTCACGGGCTTCTCTGTGACCCTGCAGCACCTTCTCAACGTCACCTGTGTTGAACACATGAAGAAATTCATCAAGTACGGGAGGGCAACTCTGGAGAGACAAGGTGAGACCACCCTGACCCAGGCATGGCCACCCCAAAGTCCCACACACACTGGGGCCAAGTGGTGCCCCACCAGGGCTCCCCCCCACCCCTCTGCTCTCCCGGATGGCCAGGAGGTGCCGCCGGGCCCAGCGCTCAACACCAGCACCATCCTGCCCAACGCTGACCTCACCTACCAGCTCCGCAGCGTCCTGGCCGTGGCCCCCCATGATGGTCACAGCTATGCCTGCCGCGTGCGCCACAGCAGCCTGGGCACCCGCAGCCTCCTCATCCCATGGGGTAGGTGCCACCCAGGGGGATGGGATGCAGGGTGCAGGCAGAGGCCCCTGGCCCCACACATGTGCCTAGAGGATGGTGGGTCAGGCTCTGATGGCAGCTCCGGCCATGGCCTCCTGTGTGCCTGCAGCCCCTCTCCTCTCTCCTCCAGGCAGCTCCAAGGTAGCTCTCAGTGTCGGCATCACCATTGCAGTGCTGCTGACTGTGGCTGCAGCCCTTGCCGGGTCCATCTGGTGCTACAGGCACAGGTAAGGTCTCCTCCTCACCCAGCTGCACCAGCCGCATTAGCTTCAGTCCATGGCGGGTGGGAGCTGCCTGGCCGGGGCTGCCTGCCCTTGTCCAGCCTCACTCACCTCTTTTCCTGCAGGAGCTGAGAGCACAGGACACACCACACCAGGGATGCCCCAGGGCCACACCAGCTCCCCACACCTCTCTGATAATAAACTGCTAATTAACACCCCACACATGTGGGAATTCCTGGTGTGCCGTACTCAGTGCCCACAAGCACATGGCATCACACAGCTCCTGCCCACTCCAGGACAGATGGGAAGAGCCCCAGTACACCACAGAGGCATGCCCACACTCCTCATCCCAGGGTGAAACATTGTGACAGCCCCCCAACACCAATGGGGTGTCCCTGGCCCCAGCCCCTAGTCCTGGGGGACACTGGGCTCCCCATGAAAGAGCAGGACTCAGCCAGTTCCAACACAGGCCGGGGCAGCAATGCGGCAGGGCAAGGGAGGACCATCTTCCCCCCACCCTCTTCACCAGATCCCGGTCCCTGGGACCAGGGGATGGTGACAAACAGGCATGGGGCCAGCACACAGCTTGGGGGCATAGGGAGCCCAGGCACCCAGCCACCTGTGGGAACAGGGTTCGCCTCCCCCATTGGAAATACAGCCACACTGGGGCAAACCCACCCGTTTCAGTGCTGGGGGGCAGCAGCACAGAGGGGACAGAGATGTCTGTGCCATGTACGGCCAGGCTTTCTGGGCACGAGTGGCAGCACATTCTCATCAGGGACAGCAGATGCAGCCCACGGCCACACAGCACCCCCACCTGCACCAGGGGTAGAAAAGAGGGATTGGGTCACCCGCACTACCGCAGGTGTCAGGGTGCCACCGTGGCCATGGTGGACTCCACTTGAAGCCAGCAGGATGGACTTGCTCCCACTCAGATTCCCCCACCGCTTGTGGTGCCAGCCCAAGGACTGCCTGGCCTTACTGTGCCCGAGCGCCCCGCCAATGGCGACCCGTACTGCACCTGACGTCACTGGGCACCAGGCGGATCCCTGGCACTGGCCCTCCCCACTAGGCACAGCAGCCCACCTGACCCACACGGCCCAGACAGCCATCGTGGTGCCCCTGCACCTGCCTTCCCCACGCTGCCATTGGCTGTGCCATGGCCCATTTGCCAATGGTGACCCATGTTGCTCCTAGCATCACTGGGCGCTGGGCGGAAGAGGGGCGAACATGGCTGGGAATGGGGGAAGAGGGGTGCCTCACACTGGCCCAGCCTGCGGGGACACCCGTGGGCCTGCCCCAGGCCCCCTCACCCGGATCCCTCCCAGTGGCCCCTGGTCCCATCCAAACCTTGGCCCCCCAGGCCAAGCATCCCCCAGGGCTTCCCCCAGCCCCCCTCAACCCCCAGATCCAGTCCTCACCCACCCCCAGTGCCTGGGTGGCCATGGATGATCCAAGGGGGTTTCGTGTCCCAGGCCTCACCAGTATCATCCTCTGAGGCCAAGCCCATCAACCACCAGCTCCAAAGGCACCTTTCTGGCCTATCCCCTGTCCTGCCCCACGTCACCCTGTTGCCATGGCATCACCCTGTGGTGCCTGGGGCTCAAGGGGTGGACCTTGCTCTCAATGCTGGGGGTTGCTGAGCCTGTGAGGCTGCGACACCGTGTTCCCCCACGCAGGCTGCTCTCCACGTGTTCCCTCCATCCCATACCCCAGTATCCTCTGCTAGACAGGGGAAAAGGTAGCAGACATGCACCACGCTGCCTTTGGACCTGCAGGGAGGCCCTCCCTTCCCAAGGAGCCCCCACTCCCACATGAGGACACTCTCCTTCCCTGAGCAGGATGAGGAGCCCAACCCGCCCTGCCTGATCAAGGGGTTCTCTCACCATTGAGGACATGCGCTGTAGGCACCATGTGGGAGGTCCCAGGAGACATGGAGGAACCATGACAGTAGTCCCTGAAAGAGGAGAGCAGAGCAACAGCAAGAGAAGGTCCATGCAATTCCTCACCCTTGGAGGCGAGACCAGCAGCATCTGGTCCTTAATGCTTGCACATGTGCTCAGCAAGCTTGACTGCGTCATTGGCTTCTTCAAGTAAACCTTTGGACAGATTGTGCATGCCTTCATAATCAATATGTGATAATTTAAACTTAAGTTTCTTGAATATGTGCAGCACAAGGTCCTCCAGTGCTTCCAAAAGGATGTCCCAGGAATTCACCTCTCCTGCTGTCACACAATGAAAATAATACCCTGGAAAAAGGCAAGACTTCAAAAATAAATTCTCTCGCAAGATCGCAGTGCTTCTTTGAACCTTTTCCTGCAGCTCCTCCCTCAGTCAAATGGCTGACATATGGAGTCAGGCTGTGATGGAACTGCAGCAGGACCCCCACATGCCACACACAAAAACCAGAGAGAGGAGCCACGAGGCACCCAAGGAACCTCTGGGCCCTCCTGCAGGGACAGCCACTGTGGCAGGGCTGGGCCTGTACCCTCCATGATTCTGGAGGCCGTGCTTAGCCCAGGAGTAGCAGTGAGCCTCTAGAACCCTTACATACAGCATCTTTTCCAGCCCAGGAGTGGCAGCAGTGTTCGGGGAGCCTTGTACACAGAAGCATGCCAATCAGCCAGGAGAACGGTGGGGATCAGGGCCATGTGCTTCACACCATGCTTAGCAGTGATGCTCCAGTTGAGCAGCAGCATTCCCACTGGCGGTATACCAGCAAGGCACTGGGATGCAGGCACACAGCTGTGTGCTCAACCAGTGCACTGATGGAGCTCCATGGAGCAGTGGCTCCATCCCCAGGAGACAGAAACCCTCACACAAAGCAACATTCTTATCTCTGGGGTAGCAGTGGGGATGCAGGCTCACAGCAGTGTGCCCAGACGCAGTGCACCAGAGGGGCTTGGGGATGCACACCCTCAGCAGCATTCGTTTCCATCATGGGTGCACCAGTGGGATTTGGAACCCCCGTACACAGAAGCTTTCCCACCCCTCCCAGACAGGATGGCTTGGGGACCTTCCATAGCATTTTTCTCAACAACACTGCAACAGCAGGTCTCAGGAAGCCTCATACATAGCAGTGATCCCATCAGCATGAGACCAGTGGTGATCAAGGACCTGGGGACTGGCTTGTGCAGGTGATTGTGATGTCACTTGTGGCTGAGTAGCTCATAGGGCAGGGGCAGAACCTGGCTTGTGCCAGTGCTTATGATGTCACTGGTGGGTGAATAGCTGATAGGTCACATGCAGGCCCCTTGCTTATGTCATGCTTATGAGGTCACTGATGGCTGAGTAGCTGTTTGTTAGAGTAGGAGCTTGCACCTGGCTTTTGTAGGTGCTTGTGAGTTCACTGATGGCCGAGTAGATTATAAGGTAGAGCAGACCCATGGCCTGTGCTATTTCTTGTAAGCTCACTGGTGGGTGAAGAACTAATAGGGCAGGAGCAGGCACCCAGCTTGTGCAGATGCTTGTGAGGTCACTGGTGGCTGAGGAGCTTTACAGGGTGGGAGAATTGTTGCTTCTCTGTTTCCAGTCTGGCCACTTCTGCAGATGCAGCAGTGGTCCAGGAATCCCATTTCTGATACCAATGTTTGGGGAAAAATTTATTGTGCCTGTTGCAGTGAATTGAACACACTTTTATGCTTAAGTTTAGAAAGATTTAATGAACAATGCATTGGACAGAGTCCTACCATCTTAAGCTGTTGTACAAGGAACAACTCTGCCTTAAAGATATTTGTGTTCATGTCTCGGCGCATGTGAGAGAAAGGCCTAACAAATGCAAAATATATACTGCCTTTTTCAAGCTGGTTCAATGCAAGATTGCTTTGGGCAGTATGCCTATTGATCCCAGTTTGACACTTCAAACCCATCTGGGGTCAAAGCTTATCCTACAGTTACATAGAATAAGCAACCAAATTCTATGTTTTACTGTCCAAATGCTAAATACATAATTGTGCATTAAAGTCATATTGCTGCAAACTTGCCTATCAGAATATTCCTTACAAATCCAGAAAAATGCTTTTTGCATCATAATTTATCACATTTTCAGGCTTGAATTAGTGATTATCTTTCCTGAACTGGAAGTAATTTGGGGACTTGACTGTGGCATTTAAGCACAATCCATTACAAGAGATAATGCCAAGCATCTGTGATTCTGGCTGGCCATGGAGAGAAGCAAACACAGTGCATGCAAAATGAAGGCATAGAGATGAGCTGTGTCCTTGGAGGCTAGTCTCTGTTTCCAGGATGCTCTGCTGTCTGCTGAGAGTGTGCAGGGAAGGACCTGACGGCTTTCCCGGTGCAGCATTTAGCTCTGATTGCTCTCTGTGTGAATTGTATCTGTCCTCAGCCAGGCATGTGGTAGGTTTCCGATGAGCAATGGGACTATTCCAGGGCAAAGTGAGCAATCAGGATCCCAAACCAGTTTTGTTCAAGGCAATCAGGTGAAAATGTGCTGTTAGAGCTGTCTGCGTTGCTTACCATTTTGGTTTCAGTGCTCTCATCTACTTCTAATCTTGCAATGTTTTTGCTGCAGCATAAAAATTAAATAGAACAGGTCTTTCTCACCCACACATAGCCCTTTCCCACACCTCAATGTGAACAAAATCTCTGGGTCTCTGTTGGGTGGAAGGCACAGATGGCGTTTGAATCCATGATCTTCAGTTTATGAACTGTCCTCTGCTTGGGGGAAAGAAGGAGCAAGGGGGAACATTCAGAGTGATGGTGTTTGTCTTCCAAAGTCACCACTATGTATGATGAAGGCCTGCTTTCCTGGAGATGGCTGAACACCTGCCTGCTGATGGGAAGTAGTGAATGAATTCCTTATTTTGCTTTGCTCACACATGCAGCTTTTGCTTTACCTATTAAACTGTCTTTATCTCAGCACATGTGTTTTCTCAGTTTTCCCCTTCTGATCCCCCTCCCCATCCCACTGGGCGGGAGTGAGTGAGCAGCTGTGTAGGGCTGAGCTGCTGGCAGGGGTTAAAGCACAACAGTGTCTCTGTCCTATGTTTAGAGTAGGATTGCTTTAGAAAGGAGCTTTCTCTGGGATTTCACAGCTCATAGTCCAGGATAGCCACGTCTGTGACAATCACACAGGTTTCTTTCTGCCAAGCCAAGCTGTGATACAAGGGCTCTGGTGTCACCTGTCTTCCAAGCAAAGACAGAAATAGTGTTGTATTATCAAGCTCCTATGGATCATGAAGGAAGCTTGTCAGGAAACAATTGTGTCCTGCTGTGTAGGCTTTGAACTAGCCCTGGTGAAAAAGCTGACCAGCAGATTGTCACTAGAGGACACTCAGGCTGCAAGTGTATATATTTCCCAGAGTTTACTTACGTGGAGGGAGGTCTGCTGGAAGGACGTGGACTGCATGTGGATGGGCATTTATAGATGTGTCTGTTGTACTCCTCAGTAGAATAATCACCTAAGACAGAGGAAAACAGCACAGAAGCAGTGAAGTTTTGGGCTTTTTCTCAAGCCAAGGAGGCAATTTCACCAGGAGATGACTGTCCTTAGCAGCTGCAGACAGCTGCCAGCTGTCTGAAAACATCTACAGCTCTTTCAAGGGGTGAGCTGATTTTTTTGTACCCACTAAGACAGGGCGAAAAGAAAGTATGTTTGTCTTGTCTGAATGAATGGTTGGAGAAGTGTTACTCACATGGTCCAGGTGCAATCTTGGTGTTTTTCTTGGGAAGTCTGCAGATGGGATATGCTGGAGCCACATTCTTCCCATTCCCGATCATGGAGGGCTCCATATAGTCACAAGAACCTGGAGAGCAGATGTCTTCTGCGGGAGGTTTTGCCCCTTTAACTTGTGTAAGTGAGGGCTTTGGTTTTGGTGGGATTGTGATTCAAGTAAGCTAGGAACAAAAGCATGTGAAAGGACACCTGCAAGTAACTGCATATTTAAAGCTCCTTTGTAACTGAAGGAGTTTGAGTTTCCAGCCTCATGAAATTCTCTTCATGGGTGTCCTGAGCACTGAACAGGCAAACTGCCCAGCCTGTGTGCAACAGTGGTGTTTTGTGTAGCAAAGGGTTAAGGGGCAGCTGTGGTGTGAGAGCGATCCTGTGCTCAGCAGGATCAGGCTGCTCTGTCCTGTGTTATCCTGAGCAGTGTTAGCAACATAAGTCTTCCTCTGCCAAGCCCTGCCATGGCTGCACCTGGGAGCATGGAGGTTTGAAGAAAAGGGAAATGGCTTTGTAGATGATTTTACCATTGGAGTCCTAAATATGCCGCATACCATGATGATCCTTGTTTTACCTGTTGTTTGTGGGCTTGAGTACTTGGGTCCAGGGTGAACTGGGCCATTATGGGGCCGCATGGGCAATGAGGTCTCCAGGTCCTCACCCAGGTCTTGTCCATGCTGGGAGGTGCTTACAAAGCCTGAGGCAAGAGAACAAGAGTTACTAATGGCCCTCCTGAAAGAGGCTGGATTTTATTTCTTTTTTTTTTTCACTTACCATTAAAATTTCTCCACTTTGTCCTGCACCATCTGAGTCCTGTATTAAAAAAAAAAAAAAAAAAAAAAAGCTCTCTCAAATCTCCAGGGGCTTGAAGGCTGCTTCTCAGCCATGGAGTGAGGCAGCTTTTCCACTCATCCTAACTTCAGTATGACCTTTCTGCTCAGCTGAATGTCTCTCCACATAGTGTCTTAATATTCAATGAAATCCCCCCTCGGTATTTCCCAGGAACCTTGCATTGTCCTAGGAATCATCCTTTCTCCTGTGGTACTCAAGGTAACGGCCTTTCAGGAGGTCATCAGTAATATACCCTTTAATACCACCGCTACCATCTTACTGTGGAGTTCCTGCTTCACGTCCTTGTCTTTTCCAATCAGCATGGCAGGTTGACAAAATGATTTGAGATAATATTGCAGATGCCATTGCAGATGCAGAGGCCACTAAAAAGGCAGATACCATTGCAGACAACACTACAGATGTAATTGCAGATGTCGGTGCAGATGCAGATACCGGTGCAGATGCAGATACCATTGCAGATGCCATTGCAGATGTAGATATCTTTGCACGTGCAGATTTCATTCCAGAGATCATTGCAGATGCCATTGCAGGTGCAGATACAATCACAGAGGCCATTGCAGAAGCCAAAGTCATTGCAGATACAGTAGCAGATGCACACAGCATTGCAGATGACTGTGCAGATGTAGATAACATTGCAGATGCAAGTACGAAAACAAAGGCAGATACAGTTGCAGATAATGCTGCAGATGTAGTCACTGTTGCAGATACCATTGCAGATGCCAATGAAGATACCATCACAGATGCAGATAGAATTTCAGATGCAAAAGCAGCCAGAGATGCCATTGGAGATGCAGATACCATAGGAGATAGATACAATTGCAGATGTAAATACCCTTGCAGATACCACTGCAGATACTATTACTGGATGCCACTTCAGATACCACAGCAGATGCAGATAGCACTGAAGATGTAGATAGCAATGCAGATAAAATTGCAGATGCAGATTCATTTCAGATGCAGAGGCCATTGCAGATACTGATACCATTGCAAATGCCATTGCAGATGCAGGTATCATTGCAGATGCCATTTCAGATAGTGATACCGTTGTAGCTATTGATACAGTTACACGTAACAATGCAGATACCAATACCATCGTAGATACCATTACCAACACCATTACAGATTGTGATACCATTACAGATAGTCACACCAATATTGATACCATTAGAGGTAGCCTTGCAGGTACTATTACAGGTAGAGATAAAATTGCATGTACAAATCTAGAAACCAAATACAAGTACATGTTCAGACACAGATACCATACTGATACAGATACAGATACCATTAGAGACAGAGGTACCATCACAAATACAGAGACTGGTACCATCACAGATACCATCAGAGAAACTGACATAGTTTCAGACACATACATATACTCAATTGCAGATACAATTGCAAATACAGGCACAAAATATGTACAATTGCAGACACAATTAAAGATAAAGAAACAGTTAAACATACTATTATAGATACAAGTACAGTCACAGAAGCCATCACTCATACAATTCCAATTACAGATAAAATTACACATGCAGTTACAGACACAATCACATATATTCCAGATGCAGGTGTCATTGCATATACCACTGCACATTCAGATACTATTGCAGACCCCTTCATTCCTTCAAACTGTCAGTCCTCTTTTCCTCCTTCCTCCCTGCCCTTCCTTCCTTCCTTTCCTTCCCCTCTGTTGTCCAAACAGTAATGGAGTCTGACAACATTATAAACAAAGCTTTATTGAGGCAGTAGGAAAGAGGAGCAACAACGCATCCATACAGCCACTCCCCCAGTCACCGATAGCAAACACAGTATCATAAGCAATGCTGTGGCTCCAGTGGGCTGCCAGGTACATGGAATCATAGAATCACAGAATGGTTTGAGTTGGAAGGGACCTTCAAAGATCATAGAGTTGAACCCCCCTGCCATGGGCAGGGACATCTTTCACTAGATCAGGTCGCTCAAAGTCCCGTCCAACCTGATCTTGAACACTTCCAATGATGGGAAATATTCACTTCCACTGCAGCCCAGGCTGCCACCAATCTTGTCCTCTCTAATTAGTTCATCTGTGTTGGTAACACAGATCCAGTTATGCTTCTTCTCTGGTTGGGCTGTCTCATCAATTGGATTAAGAAACTATCCTTGATGTACTCCCAAGCATCTCCTGGACTGCTTACAGCTTGCTGTGGTGCTTTTCCAGCAGATGTCAGGGGCATTGAAGTCCCGCCTTTCTAGATGAACATGCCCTAATTCCTTTAAGACTTTTCACAGTGTTTCCTATTGGTTCCTAATACACAAGCAGCTCTTAGCTCTTCTCTACTACTCAACATTCCATCTCCTCCACCCACTAAGTCTAGTTTAAAGCTCCCCTTATAAGTCTGGCCAGCTTGTTGGCAAAGACCTTCTTGCCCCACTTGGTCAGGTGAATCCCATCAGCTCCCAACTGTAGAGGAGGTCAAAGGTAGATCCATGATCACAGAAACCAAAATCTTGAGTATGGCACCAGCCACCAAGCATTCACCTGTTCAATTAGTCTCCTTCTTCCTGATCCCCTTACTGACTGGGAGGATGGAGACTACTACCTATACTCCTGATCATTTTAACGTTGCTCTGAGGGACATAAAGTCTCTTTTGATGGTTCTAAGTTGCCTTGTTGCAGTGTCATTACACCCTACATGGAACAGTAGGAGCAAATGATAATCTGTAGGGTTCACCAGGCTTGGTAGCCTTTCAGTGACATTGCGAATACGAGCTCCTGGTAGGCAGCAAACTTCTCTAGAAAAACTGCCTGGACAGCAAACATGTGCTTCAGTGCACCTCAGCAAAGAATCTGCAATTACTAACACTTTACCTGCTTTTCTGGTGGCACTGATTCTAATGCAGATTGGTGGTTGGATCAACTTTGTATGGTCAACTTTGCCTGGATCCTGGAATGTGCTCTTCATTCTCCAACCCCAGAGCATCCTATCTGTTATGTAGGGGCACTTCAGGGGAAGGGTCCTTCTGCCCTGAGCAGAAACAAGGGTTCAGTCTCCTTTATCTTGTGGGTTACTTGTGTCAGTCAGCTTGAGGCTGAATTCAGGCTTCCCTTCTCCTTGCACAGCCTTAAGGCAGGGCTGCCACTCAGCCTGGGACAGTGCAGAGTACCACATATAGATCTCCTGCTCACACTCCCAGATACTGCGCTGCCTGTTGAGCTCTTCTTGTAACATAGCTACTTAGAATCATAGAATTGTAGAATCATTAAGGTTGGAAAGGACATCTGAGATCATCAAGTCCAGCCATTAACCCAACTGCCTGATCCACCTCTAAACCATGTCCCTAAGCACCACATCCACACGTTTTTTGAATACTTCCAGGGACTGTGATTGCACCACTTCCCTGGGCAGTCTGCTGCAATGACTAACTACTCTCTCAGTGAAGAAATTTTCCTAATATCTAATCTAAATGTCCCCTGGCACAACTTGAGCCCATTTCCACTCATCTTATCACTTGTCGCTTGGGAGAAGAGACTGACCCCCATCTCACTACAACCTCCTTTCAGGTAGTTGTAGAGAGTGACAAGATCTCCCCTCAGTTTCCTTTTCTCCAAACTAAACAACCCCAGCTCCCTCAGCCACTCCTCATAAGACTTGTGCTCTAGACCCTTCACCAGCTTTGTTGCCCTTCTTCAATATGCTCCAGCACCTCAAGGTCCTTCTTGTAGTGAGGGTCCCAAAACTGAACACAGTATTCGAGGTGTGGCCTCACCAGTGCCGAGTACAAGGGGATGATCACTTCCCTAGTCCTGCTGGCCACACTATTTCTCATGCAAGCCAGGATGCCATTGGGCCTCTTGGCCGCCTGAGCATGCTGCTGGCTCATGTTCAGCCGGCTGTCAACCAACACCCCCAGGTCCTTTTCAGCCAGGCAGCTCTCCAGCCACTCCTCCC